GGACAGGCACAGTGTTTGTTTTTTTTTCTATTTTGTTCGACTCGTGTTCGGTCTCCGTCAATGTAAGCGCTTTCAGCATGACGCTTCCGGAGTCACACAATGAAAACCTGTTTAATGATAAACTGTACATTCTCTTCCGAGAGCAGTCCTTTCCATGTGCGAGGTGAATGGGTCCACAGGTGCAGTGGGGTGCCACCTTCCCCGCTCAAAAGTGCACGAGGAGCTGGAGAGTAGTGATACCCTAGTGCCGTCCGCCTGCACTTTCCTCATTGTGCAGTCGATATCAAGATCCTCACAGCGAAACATGCACTGAATGGTAGGGGACAGTCAGAGTTGAAAGGGTATGGACAAGCAGCGCGCTTATCTATGGTTAGGTGTGTGGCTGGCCCTGATGCAGCGCGAGCGGTGTATGGAGAAGGCACGCGGGTGTCACTGCCCTTCAACCCCGTTTTCGTGCAGTCCTGAACGAAGAAAAAGGCGCTCTACTACAGCTGCGGACCCATTCCCCCCTCACCTATAAAGGAGCAGGATCAGCGGAGATGAGTGTACAATGTCTCTAACGATGTGTGTGTCTTGGAGTGCGTTCTGCGTCGATGTCTTGGAGTGCGTTCTGAGACGACAGTGAGGTCAATTAAATTCTGCGAAATCTCCTGCATTTGCAATGGAATGTCCATATTTCAGAGCATTCGCAGGCAATGTAGTAGAAAGTGGTCCTCATATCACGTGCGCGGTGTGGGGTCTGATTCCGAATTAGCTCCCATCCAGATTAGCCCTTCATGCTCCAGAAGAGCGAATTGGCATAAGATTTGTCCAAGAAAATTGAGACAGCGACTTTTGAGGCTCACACCCGCAAGTCCTTATGTTGGTATTTGTGTTAATTTTTTGTGCCTGCGAGGTTGTTAGGTGGAACTGTTTATTAACGGCCTAACGTTTCGACCAGATCGTCGTCCTCGGAGGCCTGAACGTGGCTCAAGGTTTCTAATTTGCTTTCTAAACCGTCAAACGCCTCGTTCCCTAGCGTTTCTGACGGAACTTCAGAACATATTTACAAGCAACTCACCAATTCCTCCGCGGGAGCGGAGAAGCCGCCCAGTTAGCTGTTAGCAGTATTTGTGAAACTCACAGTGAGTATGGGAGATTTTCGGTTGTTCTTTGAAGTTAGGCGGAGGTGGTGTAGTGACAAGTGGCGCGCTTACCACTCGCGCGGCGCCGGGTTCGAATCCCGGGTCGACACCCGCCCAGGCCAACCAAGCCTTCTACCCTCCGGGGACGGTAAATTGGTACCAGATTCGTCTGGGAGGATAAAACACTGACTTGTACATCGGCTGGCCACCGCAAGTCATTGTATAGGCCACATCGCATTCAATAAGCCACTACGATTCTGAATGGAAGTAGAATGCGTGCCGCATCCCACAAAGGGATTGATCAACGGCGAAGACTTTATCCTTTATCCTTTTTATGAAGTTCCTCAAACGCTAGGGGACGAGGCGTTTGACGGTTTAGAAAGCAAATTAGAAATCTTGAGCCATGTTCAGGCCTCCGAGGACGACGATCTGGTCGAAACGTTAGGCCGTTAATAAACAGTTCCACCTAACAACCTCGCAGGCACAAAAGAATTACACACAAATAACAACGATGCCGAGGTTCTATGAAGAGAGAAGCTGGAGACTATTTGTGTTGGCATTTTGCATTCAGTCAGCCACTACGACCGCATAAAAAAGTAGGTGTGTGCCGCAGCAAAAGAAGGAACTGTTAAACGCAAAGAATTTGTTTTTATCAGAGAGCAGAAAGAAACTAGAGCGTTCACGGGATGCATAGTTACGAGCATGGCGACGGCTGCGAAGGTACATATGTAGGTAGGACGTAGAGAACAGAAGAATCTGCAGGTGTTGGCGGGTGAATTTTTAACCATTTTGGGGCATAAACGCTTGCGAACAGGGTCGCAACTAAAACTACCCAGCTGATTTCGCGCTGCAGTGCTGAATTACGTGAATACAGCTAACTAGGAAATTGCTAGTTTGTGATTTCCTAGTACATTTAATAGGTGCTCAAAGAAACCTTCATTTTTTGCTACTGAATACAATACCACTATATTGTATTGTACAATACCACTATATTGTATGACTAAATATGGTATGTGTTCGATATTCCAGAAGTGTTCCAGTCGTGAGCCAAGAGACGGCGAGACCAGTAAATAACGCTCGACCGAAAATACAGGCTTGTTTTTCAATCAGTAGAAAATTATTTTCTTCTTCGTTCAATGGACCCTTTTCCTTTGGCTATTTTGAAATAAGTGAATTTCCATTGTTAGGTCAAACCGGCCGCGTACAGGACAATACAGCCATATGCACCACAACCGTCTCCAGCCGTTCAAGGTGTGGAAAAATACAGGGAGACGTTTGTTCCACAACCGCCGCCGCCACGGCCGGCACCAGTGCCAGTGTTTCCGTCACGTCCATCACCACCTGTGTTTCCTCAACTGCCGTCAGCGCCACTATTTCCACCACCACCGTCAGCGCCATTATTTCCACCACCACCGTCATCGCCCTTTTTCCCACCGGTACAACCATTCCAGCCTTACCCGCTACAACCAGTTCACGCTCCTCGCCCACTCCCTGTGCAGTACTTTCCAACGCCGCAGAGCCAGCAGGTACGAGAAATTATCCTGATTATAATTTCAAGTACTTCTCTCAAAATCTTCCTTCTGACGTTGTTCTCTACATGATCGTGAAATTTCAGGGATGTTGCGGTGGTCAACTGGTCAGTACACAAGGCACTTTGTGCATGCCAATGAACTTCAATCCTTGTAGGAGCACACAGCAATTCCAAGGTTCAAATGGAGGATGCGGTTCGCACTACTGCATAATTTAGAACATTCTTTTAAAATCATGTTCTTAACATGATCTTCAGGAAGTTGCTCGAACTGTGGCTCGAACTGCCAGTCCTCGAATTGCGGCTCGAATTGCCAGTCCTCGAACTGCGGCTCGAACTGCCAATCTGGATGTCAGAATGGCAACTGTTGCACAATACGGGTTAGTCTCTTTTTATAGTTCTACTTGTTCTTTAGCTTTGGGTATTTGTCCTCGGTTGGTAAAATCAGTGAAGCAGTTGCAGCAGTAAGGATGAATATTATCAGCAGTACACGAAAACCACGGTTACTAACAAAGAACAGGAACAAAACTTTCATAAGTAAGTATGCATGTGTTGCATACAACCAAGTACAAGTGTATAGCGAGAGCAAGTTAATGCTGGCAGGGCAGAAGCGTAACACCGCAGAGTCTTACAAGATAAGTGCCCTAAAGTCTAGATAATTGCTAGGCATCCGTCAATTTGGGTCATAGCTAAAACATGAACGGCACGTAAAACAAGCGATGCACTCTCTTAAGACATACTCGAAAATAAAATTAATAAGATGTATAGTTATAGCAAGCCGCTTTGAGATATCGCAGTGCGGCCGCCGATGGTTTCAGAACACAGGTCAGAAATTATAGCTAGCTGACATCAAAAGTAGCTGGATGTTGTGTGAGTATTGTGGACATCATTCCACTTTGTCTTTGGCTGTCTCAAAGATTGGGAGTGTTACCATGTGGTTTTGTTGCCGAGACCCATACTGACGATGGAGAAATAGCGGCCTCAATTCGACTCCTGCCAAAGCTGGGTCACGGACGACCACCCCTCTTCAAGCAAGAAATGCTGTGGATTCTGCACTGTAATACTAGCTATGAAGTAATGAAGTTCTCTAGACCGCTTCATGCACTCTATCGCTAAAGCAGACTCCGATGTATTCGACAAAAGCAGAAGGCGGCTTTAGAAGGGTACATAGCTTCGTCTAAGCAATAAGTTGAAATGCAGTTGCGTGAAAGCCATTGATGTTTCTCATTTGAAGAGCAGATAAGCACTTTTAATAACTTGATTAACCACTGATGTGTTTCGTGTTGGTTTAGAGCGTAACCCAATGTTCTCAACAAGTTCAAAACGTCCGAAGGAGATATTCAAGCATAACGTGTGTGGCGCCTCATGATGGGGGCCAGACGCCGTGGCTCGGAGCATTGTGGTTCTTGCTGGCAGTAGCAGCAGCGGCAAACCGAGTGCTCAACTTCCGCGCTTCACGACTGAGTGGAGGATGGTGCTACAACCGATCGAAATTTCTACTTCGCTTAGATTGTTGAAATCGCTCTACAATGTCTACTTGCCTATGACGCTCATTGTTGATTGGTGAAGCAGCAGTCATTGAATAGGCTCAGGCTTTTGCTGACCGCGTTCGTGCTCATGACAAATTCTGCTCTCCTTTATCTCCGAGAGCAAGGCTTGTTAAGTTAGCCAGAGGCGACACGATATCTCTTTGCTGTCACGAGCAGGTCGGATCTCGTACTATTTTGCTATAAACCCCTGAACTGCTTGAACTGTTGGGTTCGGCCTACAATTAAATGACTAGTCTTCCCACCTCGAAATATCGACGAAAAGAAAATGGTGCCCAGGTCGTTTAAAAGTGTTTTGCAGAGAATTTTTCGCCCTGTACGAAGTCTTCTTAGTTTTTTTTTTTCATCTTCCTTTTCCACTAATATTGTGTGCGGAAACTGGTGTCAGGCTGAGGAAACAAAGCCTTTTTTGAAACTCTCTTTCACACATCTAATTAAGCTGCAATCCGCATGGGCTCAGTTGCTAAGTATAATGTGAAAGGCTATGTCCCTCAGGACAGTTAGCAATACTTATAAGTGATTCGAAGATTTCAGTTTCGACCTCACAGACAAGCATCGAACCTAATGCCCTATTCTGTCCAACTGAGAGCTTACGGAATTACCTTATTAACTGAGAATCATGCCAAAGATTGAGGGATCGTTAGAGGTCATAGAATGCTCCTTATCATTATCAACCACTACCCTCAGTTGATGATGATAGACGTTTGAAAATAAGTGGATAGATTCTGCAGGCAGTCCCTCCCCAAAAGCCCCCCCCCCCACGGGCTCTTTTACAAGGTCCGAATTCCCACCACTTGATCGCTTTAACCAACCTTCAAGCTGTTATAAGACGCATTAGTCATATACACCACAACAGCTCCTTCTGTAGATTGAGAGCCGAGACACAACTCAAAAAGTTGTCGAAAAGCTCACTTTTGAGTCGACACGAATTTCCCTTTCGATGGAATGAAAACGATACAGGTCGGGAAATAGTAATGGGCAATTATATTATCTTATAGTGCGGAAAACTTATCTATCAAATAGTATAGAACAGAACAGTATTGGAAACAAATGTAATTTTCCATAAAAAATTATGTGAGAAAAAACGCACTTATGGGCCAACCTAATAGATAGCTATGTCCCTTTGAATATCGGGTTAGACTGTAATGGGCAGATGTTTTCCACTTCAATGGAGTCCACATCGATGAACAGGGATAAGACTAAGGATTCCTAGTGACTAGAAGTGGAATCCCTTGAATGCATAGATACAAAGTCCTTTGCACAATTTTAATCAAACTATCGTAAAGCTAAACTGCTCAAAAATCCAACTACAAAAGGTAGGTAAATGAGAATTTGTATTGATGTGCTCGCATAGTTTCAACCATACATTCCATTCATTGCCCTCGTTTTCAGTCTCCTTCATGTTGTCAACCGCAGTCGTTATGCTGCAATTCCATAGTGCAGTCATGTTGCAGGCCGCAACAACAACAATGTTGCAATGCCCAGGTAAGCCCCATCAATAGTGGTAATGGAAAACCTGCGGTACAAATTCAACGTTTCACCTAGGATCAAAGCTGCTGCCCATCGCCGTTACAGAGTTGCTGCTGCAGTCCAAGCCAAATACTCGGCCTTTGCCGACGTAGCAAACGGTATTACAATGCCATTGGAATAAATCCTTTTTACTATTGCAAAAACATAATTTTCAGATCGATTGGACGGTCGCTTGGTCTCTGCGGGTAGGAAGTTCGCTAAGAGATTCGCTATGAATTTATGGTCGCTCACCATCTGAATGAGCGTCCAGGGAAATTACATACCTCTATCTTCTTCACAATCCACTGCAATGGCACCCGTACCACAGGAAATCCCTGTCTTAATTTGAAAACAAATTTCTTTCTTTCCCAGGTTACCATTTCTTAGTGGTTGTTGATATCGATGCAATAATGGTCTGGTGGAGCACAATGGGTGCAGTAGGAGAGGAGTCCGTATCACACGTTGTGCGCAGCATTGAAACAAGCTTGTATCTGTCATCAGCTTGCTAGCGTTCTTCGCTTTTTCACGGATTTCGGAGTAATTCTCGGGGAGGTGACTTATGTCAAAGTTATGTGTATTTCCCACAAAAAATATAACAAGGTTCATTTCTGCATAGTCGTGGCAAACAATCGTTGCTGGAGAAGGAATCAGAATGCAGAGAAAGAACCTACAGTCGGGAATTTTCTAGCTTCTCTCTTCTTGCAACCTCGGCATGTTAAGTGTAACTGATTAATTCTTCCGTGCCTCACGAGGTTGTTAGGTGAAACCTATTAGTAAGTAAGACCTAACGTTTCGACTGGTTCGTCGTCTGCAGAGGCTCCACTGTCCGCGCGGAGAAAGTCCGCAGCCATATGGGATATATCCGACTAACGCTCTCGTGTGGCTGCGGACTTTCTCCGCGCAAACGGTGGAACCGTAGGCCTCTGAAGACGACGAACCAGTCGAAACGTTAGGCCTTATTTACTAATAAAGGTTCCACCTAACAACCTCGTGAGGCACAGAAGAATTATTCACAGAACCTACAGTAACACAAAGTAGCACTACGGTGGTTTCCTAGTTGCACTACAGAAATCACAAATGATCCCTGTGTCGTACCATCGGGAATCGATTGCATCGCAGGAAGTCGTATGTTTGAAAGTTGCGAAATACGTTGCGATCTGAGAAGGCTCACGACTTTACCTCTAGCATGGATCGCCCCCACCCCCCTCGCACTTGGCCTCAGATGCTACTAGGTCCCAAAGTTCGGTGCGCCTTATGTCCCAGGTGTTTCTCATCCTATATACTCAGACTGACTCTAATACCTAATCATAGCCGCTACGAGCAATCTTTCTCAGTTTGAAAGGATGACAAAAAATTTCCATGGGCCCTTGAAATTGAGCTCATGATGTCACCCGCTGTCTTCCATTGGAACTGTTCGAAGCTCGAAGGCCCAAGGATGCACTTCTGCATTTGCAATGTTGTATACTTCGATACACTCCTCTCTTGCTCACGATGTGTTCCTTTGTATATACAACGTCTTCACTGCCTTTCTTATTTGCTCAATGTTGTACTTAATGCACACAATTACTGTAATAACCGGAAAAATAAATGTTAACATATTTGTCATCAATCCCGATACGTGTGTCTGCTCACATGTGCCTGTATTCATGTGTTTGTCACCAAAATAACAGCGCGTGATGGTAGCAATGGAGAGTTGATTCCAACAACTGAGTAAGGGCTGAAATAGGGACACTGTTGTTAGGAGATAGAAATTGATTTCAACTGATGACGACTGATGAAACATTGGAAGCAAGTGCCACTAACGATTGTGCGTCACATTCGGGTTGTGTCGTTGATGAGATGAAAGAAAAATCACTGTGAATAGGTAAAAGATGCAGGAGCCATGAAGGCGAAAAAATAATAGGCGATGATGGTAAATATGGGGCGATATGCCACTAAGTCCGCTACGTCTAGTATTAGTGGAATGTGATAAATGATAGGGTAAAGGTGAAACATTAATGGCCTCAAGCATGGGTAATGGTAACTGACGAAAAGTCATTAGACTTAGGAAACACTTTTCGTTACTTTCTTATTATTATTATTATTATTATTATTATTATTATTATTATTATTATTATTATTATTATTATTATTATTTATTATTATTATTATTATTATTATTATTATTATTATTATTATTATTAACTTTACTATCATCAGCAATATAATTCAGGATAACGCTAAGAAGTCCCAACCTGTGTGATCCTACTGCATACAGGAATGCTACTACTAACCATTGTGAACACGCGTAAATACCATTTCAAGCCAGCTACGATAGTGACTCGAAATTCCGTCGCCTTCAATAATGAAGATCTCTCCTTATTGTGCTAGAATTGCTTATGTCACGGATAAAGGTAGAGATTGCTTATCAGCTTCAGGTTCCAGTAGCACTTGTCCAATAATTGGAAACATTACAAGGAGACTGGTGTCAGTAAACCTAATAGAAGTTCAACTAGATCGCGCGCAAAGACCTCATAACAACTTTATACGGTCAGAAAAGGAAAGAACGCATTGTCTGAAGTCAAGCAAAATTGAATAAGAAAAGAAAGAACTCCCGGGAATGCGAAAATGCATTAGGTCCCCGCAAACATCTTTTCAGCATGATACTTGTACAGGAGCTCCGATCCTCCGCATGGCGTACGGATAGTCAAGAGCAAGTGTTGATTATTGTTTGTAGCGATCAAATCAACTCTCCGGTCAACTGTAATGCACTCGTAATAACCTTCCTCCCAGGACGGGTCTTAATTTCGGTGCGTACGCCGTTATTTTTTCATAGAGGCGGGACGCCGTTGAATGCCGCGAAACCCATTTTAAAGAACTCTCCCGCCATTCCTTACAAGGGAACCCCAACAGGTCGATCCGGCCATTTGCAATGAGATGTACATATGGACGTGTCTTGAGCCGCTGAATCCAAATCTGCCCTCGGAATTTGCGGAACGATTCTCTGAAGGGAGTTACGGACCATTTAATCTCTGCTCTGTCGCACAAGTTGGGAACGATAACTGCATGCGGCAAGCGGCCGATGGCGTAGTGGATAAGCGCACTGCTTCGGAGACGCGAGGTGGCATGTTGGAACCCTTGGCTCTTGAAATTTTTTGCTTTCGTTTGAAACACTTCATATGAGTCCCTAAAACACTTCTGTTTGGCCAATTTACCTAGTTCTTTAATTATTTGACAATGGAAGGCGGCCGATTCTCCATTTCTGGTTCCTTTTGAAAACTTTTATTATGAGGATAACCGTTTCTAGAGCTTGCATCAAGAAATGAGGATCTTACGGTTTAAGAGCACATGTGCAACTTTTTGTGGTTATGCAGGTCCGTTGCACGCAATCCATATTATCTACATTTGTTTAATATCTACTTTAACAGGAACCCAGTGGAGCTTTCCCTTCCGAAATGCATTTTCAAGCTGATAACTTGTTGGCTCCACCAAGCAAAACTCATATCATGTCTAAACAGCTTATGCTGGATTGAATTGAACCTTGTGTGGCTGCTCCAGGATCCCCCTCCCCCAGTCGACGCTCCTCATAGTCGACTCGTGGATTTCCTTTATAGATCATGAATCCATTCGATCTTCGTTATCGCGTCGGCAACTTCGTGAACAATCTGAACAAATGGTTGATTTCTCACAGAAATCTTAGGGTAGAGAGCTGTAAACATAGCCATGGCCGACATATCTCAAACTTCGCTGAATTATGATGTCACAGCCGTCGTTCGCGGTCGTCCGCTTACTACGCCACGTATAGATAAACCATCACCTGATGAAGATGAAGTAATGGAATAGATGGAATAGAGCTGCGTCTCAGCTATGCGCTCCTACAGGTCCTCACGCTCAGCTGGTGTGGCCTGGTGTAATGCGTGTTGCAGCTGTCACACACAGCAGGACTCGAATGTTCGAAGACGAGACTCCAGAAAGGGTACATGCTTCCCCAGCACGTACTGTCTCTGTGATTCCGCTCTCCAGACACATTCATATGCACGCTCCAGTCACCCAAAGCCTACAGCGCAGCTCTTGCATTTCCCTCTCCATACCTTCAAAAATTACTGAAAGTTTTTCTTTTGAAATTGAACACTACGTTTTCACGTGCAGATCATCACGTGAATCACCGAAATGAACCGACATTTCACCGACGACCGACATTTAACTCAGATATGATAAAACAGAAGAATTATTCTCGTTTCAGCATTTTTGCTGAATTTGATCGTTTCTTCCGTGCTTCATATAGCAGCAGGACAGTTGTTTTTCTTTGCCTTTTTTTGTTGATTCTGATCAATTGTTCCAATCTTCATAGCGAAAGGAGTATAAAGGATTTTTTTTCGTGGAGTTTTTTGAAATTTTTAGCATCCCTCACTTTCTGAAGAGCTCCTACTCTGGGAATGTTGGTGCGGAATCTAAGAAAGAATGTGGGAGAGCATGTCATTGAGAGGCCCTAGAAAGCGCTGTGATCTTGGCGGGAATTAGGAGAATCAGGACGTATATAAGAGTTGTGGACTCATGGATTGCCTGCCTCATTTCCGATCGGATTTGACCGCCGAGATCGCGGTGCTGCCTCTTTCCCCCCTTATTTTGGAACCACCGAGTATTCTTTCACCATCCACTTTACAGTTCATTTGAATTTGCCGTCTTTTATTTACAAGCTTGGCTGACGCGCACTACTGCGCGTATGGTTGAACCTATGGTAATGGTACTGCGCTGACAGGATTCCTGTATTGACCCCGAACACTTCGCCCGATTACAATTTTTTAGAATACGGCCTATTTCATTATGATTCTCCTATTTAATGAACGTTTGCTAATGTCTGGTGCTTATCACATTTCTAAGAAACACTCACCATCCGTTGGAAATAGGACAGCTTAGCGGTTGAAAGACTTTTGATGGTAATAACATCGATATCATGGTGATATATCCTCACATTTCTCACATCCTAGTACTTCCGTTGAGCAGCTTCCAGGGCTTTTAATTTTCGTCGAAACTCGAGAGCTTAGCGGTCGTAACCATATCGCTAAGGGATAGAATACTTGACTCACGAAGCCTCTAACCATTGTTCCTTGGGCACCGGTGCTGAAGTTTATCAGTTGGTGGGTGGCAGGACGTGATAACAGCTTATCAGCTGTTATCACTTCCTGTCACCCAATAATGTTCCCATCCTGCCCCCTATCTAACTTCTTGAAATCAACGTCTCATCGCTGCTGTGGCCGGTGTTATGAAATAGGTAGCCTC